CCAGGTATGCGCAGTGTATTTCATTACACTTCTGGCTTGTGCCTTGTAGATAGTAGATATGCAGTAGGGAGACAGGTGGTGAAGAATTCCTGCTTGCAGAATTCTCTGACCTGCTCTTTTGGACATTGTATTTATCGGATTGGTTCAGTTCTGTTTCATGATAATCCCCACGAAGTTGACAGTGGGGGATTCATTGATGGTAATACATTTGAATGCCAAAGGGTGGTCTGATTATTTGCAACAAGATAATCTTTGTCTGCTGTGTGATGAGAATGTCACTTGCCACTCGCCAGCCAAGACTGAATATTGTCCAGGCCTTGTGGGCATATTGAACTAAGCAGCCTCAGTGTCTGAGGAGTCACAAATGGGTGGAAGCAATAAACAGCAGCAAACATTCCTACTTCAGACCTTATGATGGAGTGTTGGTCATTGATGAAGCAGCTGAAAAACGGATGTACCTAGGACACAACCCTGAGTAACTGCTGCAGAGATGACTTGGAGCTGTGTTGAGCTACTTCCAACAGCCACAAACATTTTTCTTTGTGGTAGACATGACTTTGACCAGGAGAGAGTGTTCCTCTGCAATTCCTACTGAATTTTGTTAGGGCAACTTTATGCCATACTTAGTCAATAGCTATCTGATGTCGATTAACTACGAGGTGGGGAGGGGGCGGGTGGTGGCACAGTCAATGCAGGAATGAGATTGTTGTGTACACAAAGTCAATGAGCCTGTAGCCCTGTTTGAAATTGGCAGGTACGACATTGTAGGTACTGCAGAGACGTGGCTGCAAGGATGTCAGGGCTTGGAACTATATATCCAAGGATACACATCCTATCAAAAAGGACAAGCAGATGGGCAGGGGGGCTGGGTTGCCTTGTTAGTGAGAAATTAAATTAAATCAATACCAAGTGATATGGAGTTGGATGGTTTACAAATTGTGTGGGGAGAGTTGAAGAACTGTAAAGGGAAAAAAAAAAAGACCCTTATGGGAGTTATGTACAGGCCTCCTAGCAGTAGTCAGGATGTGGGCCAGAAAAGGGAAGTTAGGGACAGCATAAAAGCAAAAGAAAAAGCTTAAAACGGGGTGTAGTTTAATGTGAAGCCAGAGGACTAGGAAGTCTTTACAAACCAGCAATAGGATAACTAATAAAATCTATGGGGTGGGGGGTTTGGGGGGTGGTGGGGACACAAAGATGATGAAAAACAATGTAAGCTAGCTAGGAATATAAGAGAAGTTTGCATGCCTGTTGTTTTTTTAAGATATATTAAAAAAGGTGAGAGAGACAAGAGTGGATTTGGACCACAGGAAAGTGAGGCTGGTGAAGTAGTAACAGGGAGTAAACAACGGCAGAGGAACTGAATAGATACTTTGCATCAGTCTTCACAGTAGAAGACACGAGCAGCATACCAGAACTTCAAGTGTCGGGGGACAGAGGTGAGTACAGTGGCCATCACTAAGGAAGCTGAAAGGTCTGAAGGTGGATAGATCACATGCTGGCATTGAAAGGGATCCAAAGGAGATGGACAATGATCACAGAAATGAAGGGTTTACCATGAGGAGCAGTTGACGCCTCTGGGTCTGTGCTCGATTGGAGGGTGGAGATCTCATTAAAACGGACAGAATAAGGAGTGGTTTGGACAGAGTGAATATGGAGAACGTTTTTCCCTTTAGAAGAAGGGACTAGACCTGAGATTACAGCCTCGGTGTGAAGGGACAACCCTTTAGAACGGAGTTGGAGAAATTTCTTCAGCCAGAGGGGTGTTAATTTGTGAAACTCATTGCCACAGAAGGCTGTGGAGGTTAAGTCATCCAGTGCCTTTAAGGCACCAATAGGATCCATTCTTGATTAGTAAGGGGATCAAAGGCAGGAAAAAGGGTTGAGAAACACAGCCAGGATCAAATGGCAGAGCAGACTCAATGGGCTGAGTGGCCTACTTCTGTTCCTCTATCGTACAGTCTAAATGTGGTCACTCTCACCTCAACTCTGAATTCAGCTCTTTTGTCCGTGTTTAGACAAAAGACTGTAGTGAGTCCAGGAGCAGAGTTCATTTTCTTTATTCATTCATGGGATGAGGGCATCGTTGTCTAGGCAGGCATTTATTGCCCATCCCTAATTACCCAAAATGCAGTTCAGAGTCAACCACATTGCTGTGGGTCTGGAGTCACACGTAGGCCAGACCAGGTAAGGATGGCAGTTTCCTTCCCTAAAGGACATTAGTGAAGTGGATGGGGTTTTTCTGATAATCAACATTGGATTCATGGTCATTCATGGTTATAGTTAGACTCTTAATTTCAGATTTTAAGTGGTCTTGGCAGAATCCGAAATGTGCAGCAGTAAGCAGGGTATTCCTCTGCAACTGCTACTTGAACTTTGTGAATGATGGAGAACATATTGACGGGCTGGTAATTGGCTGTGTTGGATTTGTTTTGCACTGTATGTGCAGGACATACTTGGGCCATGTTCCACATTGCCAGGCAGATGAAGGGACATGAAATGGAGCCAGAGGTGGTGGGGGACGGGGGTGGGGGAAAGAAAAAAAAAAAAAAAAAACCAAAAAAAAAAAGGGAAAAACGAGAGGAAGGAGACATGGAGCTGAAAGGAATAAAACTCAGAAATACAGACTTCAACCAGAGTACTGATTACAGCTCTGGGTGCTACACTTCAGAAAGAATGAACATATTGAAGCAAGCGTGGAAGCGCATTATAAGAATGGTTCCAGGGATGAAAAAATTCAGATTATGCATTGAAGATGTTGGGACTATTGTCCTCAGAAGCAGAAGGCTAACAGTGGATTCAATACAATTTATCAAAACAAGAAGGGTTTTGACAAAGGAATAAGGAAACAAATTGTTCCCACTTGTGAAAAGGATGCAGGACAAGAGTGCGAAATGTAGTCATTTCCTCCCTTCAATCAGTTCTGCCATTCAAATGGAGAACACAATCTATAACATAACACTATGTGAAAGGAATGCAAAATGTGACATGAGAAAACATTTTTACACAGCAAGCAGTTAGAATCTGGAATGTGCTGCCTGGAAATGTGATACAGCAAGGTTCATTCAAGCATTCAAAAGGACATTAGATGATCATTTGAAAGGAAAGAACGTGCAGGGTGTTAGGAGACAAGACAGGAAAATGGCAAAAACTCAAAAGTTTACTTGGAGAGTTGGTGCAGACATAATTTGGGGTAGCATGTGGCTCAGTGGTTTGCACTGCTGCCTCACAGCGCCAGGGACCAGAGTTCAATTCCAGCCTTGGGTGACTGTGTGGAGTTTGCACATTCTCCCCGTGTCTGCATGGGTTTCCTCCGGGTGCTCCGGTTTCCTCCCACAGTCCAAAGATGTGGGGGTTAGGTGGATTGGCCATGCTAAATTGCCCATATAGTGTTCAGGGATGTCTAGATTAGGTGGATTATAGGAGGATGGTTCTGGGTGGGATGCTCAGAGTCAGTGTGGACTTGCTGGGCCTAAGGGCCTGTTTCCACACTGTATGGATTCTACGTTTTCTATAATGATAGTGAACCAAATGGCCTCCAACTGCACCAGAACAATTCTCCCATTCTATATCAGTGTTGTATCTGTACTAGGACAGGTTGGTAGAGGAACAGGCTAGTTCTGGAGCACAAATGCCCAAGGGTGGCTCAGTAGTTAGCGCCAGGGACCCGGGTTCAATTCCACCATCTGGTGACTGTGAAGTCTGCGCATTCTCCCCGTGTCTGCGTGGGTTTTCTCCCACAATCTAGGTTGGTTGGCCATGTTAAATTGCCCATAGTGTCCAGGCATATGCTGTCTAGGTGGATTAGCCATGGGAAATGCAGGGTATAGGGATAGGGTTACGGGTAGATCTGGGTGAGATGCTCTTCAGAGGGTCAGTGTGGATCCAAAGGGCTGAATGGCCTGGTTCCATACTGTAAGGACTCTGATTCTAAATCTTTAGCAGCCCTTCTACCCAATTTTGAGCTGCTAGATCAGTTCCAAGTCTAACCATTTAGCACAGTGATAGTGCCATACAACATGATAAAAGGATATTCTTAATGAGAATTGCTTACTGAAGCTCTGGATTTAAAACCCTAGTCCTCAAAGCATTCCTTGGCCTCAGTATTATCGGTGTTTTTCAACATCCCATCAAGGATCCTTCTGACTGTACTTTTTTTTCCATCAGGCCCTCTTCATCTTCTGTCACAGAGCCAGCTTCCAAGATCCTATTTGAGTAATTCCATTCATAAACCTTTTCCTACACCATCCCAAGAGGTATTTTGAGATAGTCATTTATCTCTTCTAATGCTAATAATCAATTATTCACCGCTTTGACTTCTTTACTAACTATTTTTCTCTTTCCTTATGTAAAGAGAGGTAGACAGATTCTTGATTACCAAGGGGATGATGAAAGATCAATTGGGAATATTCAGGAATGTGGAGATTAGGTTAAAAATCAGATCAGCCATGACCTTATTCTTGTTTGTATGTAAAGCATCTTTCTTCATTTAAACGTATAGTACGTGCAAGCTGCTGTTTGTAAAAAAATAGGTTAACCTGTATCTTGTATGGAAAAGGATAAATCTCAAATGGTAGAAATGAGAGCTAATGGAGAAAATACTTCAATGGCTGAAAGAACATATTCAGTAGGTTATCTTACACAGTAGTCATTCATCTAAGGGGAATGTGTTGTCCCTAAACATTCACACGAAAGGATAGCTTCATATTACACTGAAAAATTGAACTACTGATGTGATTCTATTGGGGCATGGTAAGAGTGGAAGACTGATGGATGACATTATTGATGCAGCTAAAGACAAATATACATTAGGGTACAGAGTTAAATGTCTTAAAATTAAAGACACTTCATCACCAATGAAAACATACTAATTGTTGAGTTGTACATAGATTTATTACTCTTACTATTAGGATTACCATAATAGAGAAAAGGCGATGAAACAAACTGAAGAAAGGGGCAACTTTAAACATTTCTTTAAATTTGAAAAAAAAAAAATCACTCACCTATTACCATTGCTGCAATTGTTAACATCTCATTCACACAATCAAATTCACAAGATGCCAGAAGAGCTTTAGCAAGTTGAGGATCTAGTGGGAATTCAGACATAATAATTCCAACTTCTGATAAGTTCCCATCATCATCCAGAGCAGCCAAGTAATCTAGATCCTCCAGCGCCTGCATCAGTGCTTCTGGGGCTGAGGAAAGAATGACAGAAATTACCACCTAGTGTGTCTTCAGACTACTAAGGAACTACAAAAGGATGTGTGCACAGCCCAGACCATCATGGAAGCCAATCTCTGATCCATGGACTCCATTCACAATTCTCACTGCCACGGAAAGGCTACCAGCATCGAAGACCCCTCCCACCCTGGTAATGCTCTCCTACAACCTCTTCCATCAGGCAGAAGATACATAGAAGCTTGAACATACGCACTGACAGGTTTAAGAACAGCTTCTTCCCTGTCATTATTAGACTGATGAATGGACTTTCTAACTTCAAATAATGTTGAACTTGCTTTGAGCACCTCCTGTGCAGCCGTAACCTTGTATGCCTTGCTCTGTTTTCTACGATCTGCCTATACTCTTGCAAAACAAAGGTTTTCACTGTACTTAGGTACATGTGACAACAATAAATCAAATCAAATATTACAAGTGAAGGTTAATGCAGCTGGAAGGGTAATCTCAAAACTGAAGCGGATGGTTGCTGAGCATAAAATTACACACAAAACATGACACGAATATGTGATTCACATCTGAGAACTGAATGTACAGTGCCAGCCATCCAGATGGAACAGTGACCTATTGGGTTAATGTGTATTTCAATAATCACAGAAATGTTTCAAAAGAAATTCTTCTTGAATGCTTGTGTCCATGTTGAATTTTTGAATGAGCAGTGTATCTGCATTTCCCTGTCTTCTCCCCATAACCCTGCACAATTTCCTTTCTAATAACAATCCAATTCCCTGCTGATTGCTTCGATTGAACTTGCCTCCAGAACTTTATCATTTGCTGCATGGAAATTTTTCTCTTCCTGCCCATTGCTTCTTTTTCGAACAATCTTAAATCTATACTTTCTTACTCCTTAATCTTTCCCTCAGTGGCAACAGTTTCATCACACCTACCTGACCAGTTACCTCAGGATTTTGAAACTCTGTTACTCAACTAGTGAAATAGCAGAGAAGGTTTAAGGCTTCACTCCTGCCGATTCCCTTCTAACAACATCCTGAGGGCTACCAATACTCAGAAACTAAACTGGACCTACCCATATAAACACAAGATATATGGCTGCAAGAGCAGGCCAGAGGCTAGAAATTCTGCAATTAGTAACTCATCCAGATACCCTAAAGCATGTCCAACATCGACAAGGCAGAAGTCAAGGGAATAACAGAATATGCACCACTTGCCTGGATGCAGGTGGTTCCAACAACACTCAGGAAAACTGACACTTCCCAGGACAAAGCACCCCATTTGATTGACACATCCACAAACATTCACTCACTTCGCTACCAGCACACAGTAGCAGCTGTGTGAATCATCTACAAGATACAACATAGAAATTCACCAAGGCTCCTTGATATCCATGACCACTGCCACCCAGAAGGACAGGGGGAGGGGATACACGAGAACATCACCAAACTCTGAAATATACCACTGTGCCTTCACTGTTGCCGCGTCAAAAATCATAGAACTCCCTCTCTAACAGCATTGCACGTGTACTACACCTAATGGACTGTAGCAGTTCAAGAAAACAGCTCACTATCACCACAGTGGCAATTAGGGACAGAATAAATGTTGGCCTGGCGAGCAAGCCCCTATCCCATGAATTAATAAAATAGGCCATAGTATTGCTCTGCGCAGGCTTGGAGGGCCGAAGAGCCAGTTCCTGTGCTGTAATTTTCTTTGTTCTTTGCTCTAATCAACCTCGTTTCATAAGAAAACCCTTTCATGCTCGAGATCAACCTAGTGAATGTTTTCTGGGCTGCCTCCAAAGCAGTGCATCTTTCCTCCAACAATGGGATGCAAGCTACTCACAATACTCTTGGCGTATTAGACATTTACTTGCTCAAATGATTTGCATTTTCATAAAATCTAATACTGCTAACCAGACAGTCCATTTTCCGACATCCTTTTCTTTCCTCCAAAACATTTAATCAGCCCTCCTTTTCAAAAGAATTACAAATTTTGCCTCCATCAACCTATTTCATTTTTGACGAACTTACACATCAAAAACTTCTCATTTGACTCCTTGCTCTTCTGGTGAAGATCCTGAATTGATGTGCTCTAGTTATCAACTCACTGACCACAGGATTTGATTTTTCCCAATCGCATTGGAATTCTCTATTACCAACCTGAATTTTCTGCACTTTAGCTAGAGTTTCTGTAGTCTTCATCCTCAACAATAGCACCTCATTACTGGCAACCTCTCAATAAATCTCTTTAGTATATATGTTCTATGGTCTCAACATCTTTCCTATTCAGTATCTGGGGGGAGGCGCTGGTGACACCCAGACCCCACAAATAAATAAATAGAACAAAAATCTAGAGACCCAGTTAATGCTCTTGTGGCATGGATTCAAATCTGACCATGGCAGATGGTGAAATGTGAATCCAATAAATTTCAAATTGTCATAGCAATTTACAGGGGTCCCAGATTTATGAACATTTGACTTACAAACACTCAATTATGAGCGCAATCTTATACAGGGGTGCAACTTTGAAGATTCTACATACGAACTCCTCCTGTGCTTATAAATGGCTTATAGAGTTATAGAGTCATACAGCACGGAAACAGACCCTTTAGACCAAACTAGTCCATGTTGATCATAATCCCAAAATAAACTAGTCCCACCTGCCTGCTCCTCGCCCATATCCCTCTAAACCTTTCCTATTCATGTACTTATCCAAATGTCTTTTAAGAGTTGCAAACGTACCAGCATCCACCACTTCCTCTGGCAGCTCATTCCACTTACGAACCACACTCAGTGTAAAAAAAATTTGCCCCTCGTGTCTTTTTTAAAATCTCTCTTTACTCACCTTAAAAATATTCCCCCTAGTCTTGAAATCCCCCATCCTAGGGAAAAGCCAACTACCATTAACTCTACGTATACTCCTCAATATTTGGTTTCTTTATATTGTTCTGCATTTTGTACGCAAGTCAAAACCATCAATTTGTAAACAGACTCCAGAAAGGAATTCATTTGCAACCTGGGGACTACCTGTTAACTAGAGTACAAAAGAATGCTGGATTGGTTAACAAGTCAACTATGATTGGCTCAGGCAATGGCATGGAGAGAGCAGCACGAAACTATCAACTTTCCACACTTCTAGCAAGAATAAGTGGACCAGATTATGATTGTAACTGATTATTCTTAATTGTCTGTTAGTGAAACTATTCGGGCACAAGGGATTGTTCAGCAAGCGTTGCCCAGTTGCAGAATTACATCTAACAGTAGATGTGTACAGGCAAAGTCGCCATAGTCTTACCAGACGATAGGATTCCTCTCTCTCTCATGAGAGAGCAATCCTGAGAGAGAGCGCGCGAGAGACAGGACACGTAGTGATTTAATCGAAAGGTCACCATGCCTCAGGCGAGAGGAGATGTTGTGAAAGGGAGTTCTTCACAGTAGTGTGCAGTCAATAATTAGTAACAGTAAGCAGAGAATTTCACAGGATGCCATCTGTCTTTGCGCTAGCCCTCGGAAGAACCAATATACCTCATGTCGCACCTCTGCCTTTTTCCCATGGCTGTGGAAACTTCTTTTCAAGTAATAATCCAATTCCATTTTGAAAGACTCAACTGGCCCCACCTTCATCAAATTCTCAGGCAGCGCACTCCAGATCTTATTAAGTAGCTCCTGATGTCAAATGATGGGGAGGGTTGGTGTGGACTCTATTGGGCCGAATGGCCTGCTTCCACACTATAGGGATTCTTTGATATTCATGACCCTCACCGGGGATAAATCATTTTATCACTATCTTAAATAGTGGGGATTCTTCATTCTGCACTTTTCCTAACAAAATGAATTATTTCATGTTACTCTGCATAAATTTTACTCCACATCACTTTATGTAAATGACTTGGATTCTGCAAAAAAAAAAAAGAGAAATAGTTGAGCAGTGATCCTGGAACAGTGACAACCTGAGAGAACAACTACTCAGTGCACTCGGTCTTCAAGCCAATCTTTTTTTAAAGCTGTGAAGGGTAGGGCTTATACAATTAATGGTAGGGCCTTGGGTAGTGTTGTAAAGTAGAGGGACCTAGGGCTGCAGGTACATAATTCTTTAAAGTTTCCATTACATACAGACAGGATGGTTAAAAAGGCATGCTTGCCTTCATCGTTCAGTCCTTTGAGTATAGGAGTTGGGATATTATATTCAGACTGTACAGGACATTGGTGAGGACTCTTCTGGAATACTGTGTCCAGTTCTGGTCACCTTGTTATAGGAAGAATATTATCAAGCTGGAGAGGGTTCAGAAGAGATTTACCAGGACACTACCAGGTATGGAAGGTTTGAGTTACAAGGAAAGGCTGGATAGGCTGGGACTCTTTTCACTGGAGAGTAGGAGGTTGAGAGGTGACATGATAGAAGTTCATAAAATAATGAGAGGTATACAGCGAGTTGATGGTAGATGTCTTTTTCCTAAGATGGGGAATCTCAAGACTAGGGGGCACATTTTTAAAATCTCTCTCCTCTCACCTTAAAAAAGACATGAGGCAAATGTTTTACCCAGACAGTGGGTCGCGTTTGGAATGAACGTCCTGAGGAAGTGGTGGATGCAGGTACAATTACAACATCTAAAGGACATTTCGACAGATATATGAACAGGAAAGGTTTGGAGAGATATGGGCCAGGAGCAGGCAAGTGGGACGAGTTTAGCTTGGGATTATGTTCGCCATTGACTGGTTGGACCAAACAGTCTGTTTCCATGTTGTATGACTCTAAGTCCCTACGACTCTAAGACAAGATCAACAGACTAAGTAAATTAAAACTTGAGTATTACGTGAAGGTGGAGCTAAGGTCGGGGATCAGCTGTAACTATATTTAATGGTGGAACAAAATTGACTACTCTTGCTCCTGCATTCTAAAGTATTACAAAAAATACAGAAAAAATGATGACTCAGTAACAAAGTGCATTTCAATAATTGTCTGCAACTGGTTGGAAACAGCTGGAAATTCTATTTGAGTGCCAGACCAACATGCCAACCACACATACTGTTTTGTTGCTTTTACCTGGCCTATCCAAGAAGTCACATTGTCCCATATCTGCAATATCCAGCCTCTTCAGCAGAAGCACGAGGTGGCTGAGGTTTGTTTCAGACACTCGAGGTGGTGAAACGTCCAGCATCTCATTATGGAATGCTTCGGAGTACAAGCGGAAGCATTTCCCTGTAGAATAAAAAAGTATACAATGTTAAACAACTCCCTTAAAAGCCTACTTTCTTCTGTTCCTGCTGCAAAACTGACCTTCAGAACATAGGCTACTTCTTCACAAAAGCATTACCAACATTGTATGAATGGAAAGGCAGATTATTTATTCAGCAGGCTAACATTTTGCTGAGTCCCACAATCCCCTGTTTAAAGTCCACTCAAGTAATACAAAATTGCAGACTAGACTGAAAGGATTCAGGTCTTTAGATTACTTACATGCTGGGTTCCCAATTTCAATTGTGTTACTGTGGGTAATTCACATGCTTCTATGCCTGAAGTATTAAATTTTATCTTATTTACATCCCATTTTCACCTTCATAAGTCTTTTGAAAACACATTGTATATTGCAGATAATCCAGACTGAAGAATTCAGGTTCCTATACAACTAAATTTCTTCATAGCTCAATCTTAGCCACAGTCTCCTGGATCTTCTCCAATATCTTACTACCCGAGTTTGACTTTATTGGCTCTGCAGTTCAGCTGGCCCGTTTGATTGCTGTAGGTAGCAGTGGCTTGAAGATTTCAAATTCTCTATCCACTTCTTTAATATCATCTAGAGAGCAGGCGTATTTCTTACTTTTTCATCCTATGGACAGTATTTTGTATTTGCTCAAATTAAATTTCATCTGCCACTGACCTGCAAACATACATCTTAAAACTAAAACAAGATGACATCTATTAAGTCGTCTCATTTGATTAGGACTCTAATTTCCTCTGTGAGAGCTCTCTCCTAGTGGAGATAATTCCCTACCGCAAATAGGTGAGACCAATGATGTCAGATTTTTGCAATGGGGTCACACCTGCTGTGAATGCTATTGTCAGGTTCCTCAACATCTTGCCAGCACTCTTATTCTTTCACAGGATGGGGATGCCCAAACTTGTTACTCATCCCGAACTGCCCTTAAACTGAATAGATGGCCAGGCTACTTCAGAGGGCAATTAAGCGTCAACCACATTGCCATTAGTGTGGAGTCTGGACAGCGGTATTTGCTTTGCCAAAGGAAGCTGGTACACAAATTTCAAGAGCACCTCTGCCTTGCCACTTCCCCGATATTCAAAATAACTCCAGAATAGCTTTCTTTCTGAAAGATATTTTCAAAACTAAAAATGCTTCCTCAAGCTGCATTCATGTCTTACTTGGAGTTGTCCTGACCCTGTGATTTGTGGGATTGCTCTGAACTGGATACAGTGTGGGACTACAGTCACATGCGAGATAAGGTGATTTGGGATTGCAAGTTCTTGTCACACAAGGGAATTAGTGAACCAGTTGGCTCTTTAAGGCAATTTGGCAGATTACAGTAACAGATGTTTTTATCTGGTGCTAGCTCAAAAATTAATTACCAAATTTATAGAGTTCAGTTCCATAATTTGAGTTGGGATTAAACTCAATTTGAGCTGCATTTGACATTTCTGCCCAGTAGAGAGCTTGGTCACATTTCTATTTAATTATTAATGAATATAATTATTAACCTATTTAATAATGAATGAAGCACAGGCAATTTTTATGGTACCTCAGGCTATGAAAGAACTTCACTCCTTTTTTCCAATTATCACATTATTGCAAGTGAATCTGAACCACTAACCGAAATTAGTATCTTTAAATTTGATTAAAGCAAAAAATCAGGATATATTAATATTGAACGATAGACAGCCAATTTTCAAAACTGCTTATTCGTTGCAAAATTATAAAAATGGAAACAACTGATTTTCTTACAGAGCCAAACTTTTTAAAAATAATCTTTTCATAAGTCTGTGATGATATTCTCATGGATAAGACATTGGCTGATGAGAGGCATGAATGTCTTGTGAAGCTGTGGTAAACATTCAACCACCAACTTGATATTTCGAACACTGCCCTCCAGCCTCAGGATTAGGAAATTAGTAAGAGTTTTTATGGCTTTCTTTCAATGAAACAAAAGAATCTGAAACAAGACCATTCAGCACACATTGTATGTAGGAGCACACAAACTGAGATCCGTCTGGCTGATCTTCTACCAAGCTGGTGGTCTTGTGACACAATGACAATGAAGATAACGTCTACGTATAACAATCAATCTCCATCTACTAGTCTACAGCAAAGCCAAGATGTGGAACAAGTCTTAGAATGCAAAAGCTAAAAAAGAAAATTGTTGCAAAAACTCAGCAAGTCTGGCAGCCTCTGTTATGAGAACGCAGACTTAATTTTTCGGGTCGTGACTCTTCTTCAGAGGTTTTGGACTGAATTGGGAACTATACATCCAAAGCTGCCAGTTCTGTTCAAGCACACTATCATGAATGCATGTCATGTCATGGGTACAAGCACAATATTATAGCTACAGGCTCTGAAGGGAAAAAAATCATAAGGTTCATAACAGATGTTTGTCACAGACAACAAGTAGCAAAGAGAGTTGACCATGGCTATTTTCCAAAACACACTTGCTCAGCTCCTGAGAAAATGCTTACGAAGTAGGTGGCATATCCCAATATCTGGCTGTTCTTAAACTACTATCACGAAAATGTTAAAGGGATGTGTGGGCTCCAATTTTTGGACTATTGCCAGTATTTCTGAAAACTGGATATGTCCTATTTTACAACAGTAAGATGCTTTGAGATATGCAATGAATTAGAATTAGTTTTATTATCACATTGTCAAATGAGTACAGTGAAAACATTTAAAAGGCATCTGGTTGGGTATATGAATAGGAAGGGTTTAGAGGAATGTGGGATAAATACTGGCAAATGGGACTAGATTTACTTAGGACAGCTGGTCAGCATGGATGAGTTGGACCAAAGGGTCTGTTTCCAAGCTGTGCTTCTCTACGACTCAAAGTTTAGAAGTTGCCACTTACGGCACCAATGGCTGAGGGAAGTACTACATAAATGCAAGAATTTATTTTAAAAAATGGCAGATAAGAAACTAGGAGTTTACGTTAGAGCTGCACTGAACTTTGATTAGGCCACAGCTGGAGTACTGCGAGCAGTTCTGGTAACCATGCTTTAGGAGGGATCTGATTGCACTGGAGGGGCTGCAGAGGAGATTCACCAAGATGTTGCCTGGCATGGAGGAGTTTAGCTATGAAGAGGGGCTGGATAAGCTTGGGCTCTTTTCTTTAGAGCAGAGAAGGCAGAAAAGGGACCTGATTGAGGTGTATAAAATTAAGAGGGGCATAGACAGGGTTAATAGAAAGCAGCTGCTGCCCTCTGAAGAAAGTCAGTAAGTGGTAATTTCTGTACCCCAGACCAGGAGGCCCAGGTTCAAGCCCCACCTCAGATTATATAATAACACCTCTGAGTTTGCTAATTAGAAAAATAAGATAAATAAAAAATGTAGGGCCCTCTTGTGTTGCAGTAGTAGTGTCCCTACCCTTGGACCAGGAGGCCTGGGTTCAAGTCTCACCTGCTCAAGAAATCTGTGACATCATTTATGAACAGGTTGATTAGAAAAATAGGTTAAATTAGTGGAGAAAAAAAAAACGAGGATGCCTAAGTTTAAGTTGAAATGCAGGAAGTTTTTACACAAGATGGGACGAATTTTTATTAATCCAGAAGGTGGAGTGAATCAAAATGCACTATTTGGGAAGGTAGCTGAAGCAGAAAACCTCAACTTTTTAAACAGTACAGGAAGTTTTGCTATAACAGATGTTTCATTAACAAGAATTGGCTGTAACACAATTGATGAATAGTGGACACTGTTTGGATAATGTGAACTTTCTGCTGTACACATATAGCGATTTCCCTATAATGTGCTTTTCTAAGGCGGTTTTCTAAAGCGTGATTTTCTATAGGGCAAGGTCACGCAAGACCGCAACAATTGCATTACAGAGCTACCTGTACTTGGATGAACATTTGAAATATCATAAAGTGAGATTAGTGCAGATTTTACAGTAGTTTTTGTTGGTGCAGCCTTGATGGGCTAATGGGCTTCTTCAGGACTGTATGTTTCTGTGATTCGAAGCATGGCTGGCAAACTCTTTGTCCTTGTTGTTCAATTTTGCGTGCAATGAATTATGTGAACTCCTATAAAGCCAGCTCAGCTTCCTTCTATACAAGTCCAGAATTTCATCTGTGTAAAACACAAAGTAGCAACTTGAACATGGGACCACTTATTTGATGGCAGGTGTGAAATAGACTATTGGAGGTGGTGTTCCTTCTGCAGCAGTTCTCCTGGAGACGACATTGCATCATACCAAAAAGTTGAGGCTCAATTATGTAGACAACTGCTGCAACATCCAGAAAACACGATAGGATAAAACAAAATATTTTAGGAAATTTGGAAAGTAAGGCTATGCAATACCATACTACATATTAGATGTAGGAACGTTGAACGCCAGTCACAAAAGGCTGCTCACTAATTTGTTCTGATTTCATTTTCTATCCTTGTACAATTGTGAGGCACTCAAAGCGTTCTGCTGAATGTCAAATTTAAATTGAACTTACAACATGGAACTTGGTACACTGACACAATTTACGGATTTCGTACTTGACATATTGCACCCATCTACATTAACATTGCATTTTTTTTTTTAAGTCATTCATGATATGTGGGCTTCACTGACTCGGCCAGCATTTATTATCCATTCCCATTTTATCTGGAGGTGGTGGTGGTGAGCTGCTTTCTTGAACTACTGCAGCCCCGGGGTGTAGGGACACAAGCAGTGCTGTTACAAAGAAGTTCCGGGATTAAGCTATGGTGAAGGAACAACAATATGTTTCCAAGTCAGGTAGACGAATGGCTTTGAGGATAACTGGTGGGTGACTGTGTTCCTGCATATCTGCTATCCTTGTCCTTCAAACTGGCACAGATTGCAGTGTGCAAGGTGCATTTGAAGGAGCCTTGCAGTGCATCATGTCAATGGGACACACTACTGCCAGTCTGTGTGCTGGTGGTGAAGGGAGTGCATGCTGACAGTGGTGTGGATAGGGCGTCCTGGATGGCATTGACCCTTTTGAATGTTACTGGAGTTTCACCCACCAAATCAAGTGGAGGGTATGCATCAAGTTCCTAACTTGTCTCTTGTAGATACTGTACAGACACAGTGGAGACAAGGGAGTTACTGTCTTCAGAATTCTTGGTGTCTGACTTGCTGTTGTAGCTTGTGTTTATGCTTGCATGTATGATCATCACCAGGTGCCTCTTTCACTTTCCAAAACCTGATCAGAGAAATAGTTCTGTGCAAAACGTCCTGGATTTCCGACACCCCCACACCACCACCTGGAACACTGCTGTCAAAAGAACTGCCTTGGTGGATTTTTGAACGCAAGCCAAAAATTCTTAAGGAACAGAAATAAGGCGCTCAGATTACTAAAATGATTGAAATGCAGGTGATGGCAAGCAGACTGCTTTTCTGATATGTCCGGGGCTTGAAAACTCTAATAGCCAGCACTGGTGGCACAGTGGACTCACCATTTTCAATCACTTGAATGTATCTGCTTTTGATTAGTATATGGTATCAGAACAGCAGGCAATTTCCCTGTCAAATCCAGTCCAGATATCATTTTTATTGTTCGGGTTTTAGAATGCTTGCTCATGGTGTTAGTGCAGAGCAGTTCAGGGAAATCACAGTAACCTCAGTGGAATAAGGTGGCTGGTGCCACAGGGAACTTAGCCCTCCATGTCAACTGTTTTGGCATTCAACAAAGCTGATTCTTCCCAATTCTTTCCCGTGAAAAGTGAAGTTGTCTTCCATGTATGTTCACAAAGCCCCGCTTTTTAATAAGCTGCAGATTTCCAGCTTAGCATTCCTGCTCTGGAAGTAGCACCAGCCACATTATTCCACTGAGGTTACTGTGATTTCCCTGAACTGCTCTGCACTAACACCATGAGCAAGCATTCTAAAACCTGGATTCGAATCACTGTAAAGTAATCGTTTTGGGGAACTGATAAAGGACGTCGATTTGTTTTAAGAACTTTCAGATTGTTCTATATCCAGTTAGGTCAGTTTGTTAGGGCAGATATCATTCTGGGATACAACTGTTCAATACTATCATCAAGCTAGAACCGTAACAACATTGAAGAGTTTACTTTACAATTGCAAAGCTGAAGATATTGGCACTTTATTTCCCTGTACAACAACTTACGTTATACAGCACCTTCTAACTTAATACATTCTTCTTAGAAAGATTATAGGGCAAAACTAAAACTACAGGAAAGCAATATTCAGGCAGATGACCAGAAGTTTTGACACAAGAACCAAGAGCAATAGTGAAACTCAGAAATTAGAGAGATTAGGGTCAACATAGCGGCAGGCATGGCCATAAATGGTGGACCAATTAAAAATTAAGGCTAAACTAGGGGAGTCTAGATACCTAGCCCTGGAGGAGATTACAGAGATAAAGAGGTGTGAGGCCACTACAGTCTTTGAAAACAAAGGAAGAGCATTGTATAATCAAGTTTCTCGTTTGACTGAAAACCAAATGTAGGTTAACAAGTACAATGGGTGATAGGGAAGTGGAATATGTTTCAAGTTAACAAAGGCTACAAAGCTTTTGCATAACTCAGGTCAACGGAAGATGGAAAAAGTGTGTGTTGGAACAGTCAAGGCTTGAGATAACAAATGCGTGGAAAGACAAGGCATGAATGAATGAGAGTTTCACTGGTACACCAGCTAGATGTTCTTAAGAGATGTCAACAGACACATCTCACACTAACTTTAATGATATTGTTAATGAATTAACACTTCACTTGAAAATTGAGGCCATTGTTAGATACAGTAGTGCAAAGAAGCTTTGCAAATAACACAATTAGCACATCAAAACCCAAATGCTGCAAGCAAACAATAACACTGCACACTATATCAAACTACTCAGCAATCAAAATCAACTGTAGTCCAATGAGTGCTGCAATTACTAATAGGTGACTAAGAAAGAGTGAGGCTTTGTGGGTGGAGCTAAGAAATCAGAAGGGGATGGCGATGTTATTGGGGTTGTACTGCAGGCCCTCAAATAGGAAACAGGAATTAGAGGAACAAATATGCAGGGAGATTGCGGAGATTGCAGGAGGAAGTGGGTTGTCATAGTGGGGGATTTTAATTTTCCCAGCATAGACTGGAACTGCCATAGTGTTAAGGACTTAGATGGAGTGGAATTTGTTAAGTGTTCAGGAAAATTTCCTCAAGCAGTATATAGAGGGTCCTATTCAAGAAGGGGCAAAGCTTGACCTACTCTTGGGAAATAGGGCAGGACAGGTGACTGAGATGACAGTGGGGGAGCACTTTGGGACCAATGACCATAATTCTACAAATTTTACAATAGTTATGGAGAAGGGGAAAAAAAAACAGGTCCACAGGTTCAAGTTCCAAATTGGGGAAGGCAAATGTTGATGGAATTAGACAGGAGCTTGCAGGGGTTGATTGGAGTTGTTTGTTTGTAGGCAACAGGACCTCTGGCAAGTGGGAGGCCTTTAAAATTGTGACAGCTAGAGTTCAAGATCTATATATGTTCCTGTGAGGGTGAAGGGCAAGGTTGACAGGAGAAGGGAACCCTGGATGACAAGACATACTGAGGCTTTGACCAGAAAAAAGGAGGAGGCATGGTCAAGAACAGGCAGCTGGCATCAAAGGAATCCCTGGATGTATATGGGAGATACAGGCCTTTACTGAAGGAGGAAATCAGGAGGCCAAAAAGGGGGCACGAGATAGCTTTGGCTGAGATGATTAGGGTGAATCCAAAGAGATTCTTTAATTATATTAAAGGAAAAAGAATAACTGAGAAAGAATACGACCACTCAAGAACCAAAGTGGACACGTATGTGTGGAACCGCAGGAGATGGGCAAGGTCCTCAATGACTATTTCTCCTCTGTTTACTGTGGAGAAAGACGCGAAGGCTTGGGAACCTGGGGAAGTTAGTGGTGATATCTTGTGGACAGTCCATATCGTAGTAGAGGTGGTGTTGGAAATATTAGAATGCATGAAGGTGGATAAATCTCCTGGTCCTGATCAGATATATCCAAGAACCCTGCCAGGGTTTAGAAAAGAAATTGCAGGGGCCCGGCTGATATGTTTGCATCATTGTTAGCCACAGGTGAGGTACCGGAAGACTGGAGGGTACTGAACGTTGTGCCCCTTATTCAAGGGCTGCAAAGAAAAACCTGGGAATTATAGACCAGTGAGCTTAACATCTGTGGTAGGTACATTACTTGAAAAGATTCTGAGGGATAAGATACACATGCACTTGGAAAGACAGTGTTTGATTAGGAGTAGTCAGCATAGCTTCATGCGTGGGAGATCATGCCTCACAAATCTGTTAGAGTTCTTTGATGAAGTGACAAGGCTGACGAAGGCAGTGGGCTAGACGTAGTCTATACGGATTTCAGTAAGGCCTTTGATAAGGTTTCACGTGGTAGGCTGCTCTGGAAGGTTAGATCGCATGGAATCCAGGGAGAGCTGGCAAATTGGATTCACAATTGGAAACTGATTGGGGCATGGGGGGGGGGGGGGTGTGGATCTTATAGAAGTGTATAAGATCATGAGAGGCATGGATAGGGCGAATGCACTCAGTCTTTTTCCCAGGGTTGGGGAATCAAGGACTAGACGGCATCAGTTTAAAGGTAAGAGTGGAAAGAATAAACGGGAACTTTAGGGGCAATTTTTTTTTTTGCACAGAGGGTGGTATGCATATGGAATGAGCTGCCGGCGGAAGTGGTTTAGGCAGGTACATTAACAACATTTAAAAGGTATTTGGACGAATACATGGACAGGAAAGGTTTTAAGGAGACAGGCCAAATGCAGGGAAATGGGGTTAGTGCGGATGGACATTTCGGTTGGCATGGACCAGTTTGGGCTGAAGGGCCTGCATCCATGCTGTGGGACTCTAAGAGCTTCATTTTGTCACAGATTTATGAAAAATAATGCAGTGAGGAATGTGCATTGACACATGTAGTGCCTGTTTGTGAATTTTTAAGAATCTAAAAATATTCTTCAGTGATGGAATTGCACACAATTTGCAATGATCACTTCATTCACTTATACAGCCAGAAAACCTGCATCAGTACATAGTAAGTAATGGTTCAATTGCACACGTTACCTTGAACTGAATTTTCACTATTTCACTGGTCAGTATTGCTTACCTGGGCAGGTGTGGCCTAATCTCTGCCACCTCAGTTCAGCCTGGCTCTTGCTAATTGGCTGAATGACCTGGGAGTCAGCCCGAATGCGAGGATTGTATGCCTGGGGAAAAGAAAAGATAAAGATATCGAAGAAATAAAGCCTAAGAATGAGGACTGCATATTTTCAATACAATCAGTTTGATAGATTTAGCGCATTCATTTGTGTAGCCAATGGTCCAGAAAACATGCTTTTCAGATCCAAATATTAATAGAGTTTGGCAAAAAATAAAGATTTAACAGGTAGCAATATTTTATTTAATCAACACACTCTTGAATATAATGTGCGATGACCCACGTGCATTTGGGAAAAAATGTACATTTTATGTTGGAGGTGATGGTCCCTTTAAGTAGATTTCTCGAAAGGGGATTTCTTGTACAGAAACTGACTTCCAGTTGATCATGTAACTTTTTCTCTTGTTATCTCAAACAACCAAAACCGTTCACAAGATATTAATTGAGGTGGTGATGTTGGCAGTGCATTGCGTATGTGGTTCTAGTCGCAAGCAGGATTTAATTCAAAACAATGTGGCAGCAGAGTGAGGAAACATTTTGCTTTTCCCATTAGGTGCTAGATTAAAAGATTTATAACTCTTGTTAATTGGTGGATTGTACTATCAGAGATTTGAATGTTTGGGGCAGCCAAGCTTGCTGCGTGGATGGGGGTGGTAAATTGATTGACAGTATCAGGAGGGACAGACATACAGACAAAGACAGGGAAGAGACAGATAGACAGAGACTTAGATTTGGGATTAGTTAACTAAGACTTTAGAAGTACATTTTATCTCCCCAAATAAAAAGCTTCAGCCATGAAAATTACTTTTTAAAAGCATGATTATGGATGCACAGTCCACCCCAGCATTGATTTAATTTGATTTGGTCAATTCTAGTTCCTATTAATTGGTTGATTTAAATTATAAAGATGCTGAAGGTACCTAGCATCAATATTAAAAAAATAAAATTTAATGAATCATTTCTATAAACATTAGATGACTTTTATGTACATTTAAAAAGATACTGGGAGTCAAAGCACAATTCCCACTAGCTCCAGATGTGTGTAACAACATCTCTGGACAGTATTTATCAAATGAATTTGTAACATGACAAAGAGCACCAACTACAGGCAACAGTCGTGTACTGTAAGCCTGCTATTATTTAAGGAAGCACACCAGAAAGGAACTCTTGGTGAACTAAGAGAGTTTTAGATTGCTGAGTTTTTTTCCTTCCTGCTTTCGATGCAATCCATTTTCAAATTCTAAAATAAGTCACTGGTTATGTCATGCCTTGCTGGAGAATGCAGAGAATAATTAACAGCGTCAGTCAAAACAAGAAAAAATGGCGCCTTTTGATTCACTGAAAACAGTATGCTTTAACTGTGGAAATGTTTGTGGATTAATAATGACACCGATTTCCACAGTGCAGAATTTATTCCTGCTTTCCATATCGGAAACAACTAGACAATTCACTATTTGACCATATTTAGAGCACCAAATAGTTTGTTTAATATATACTGGCATTAGAGACAGTCCTGATAAAGTTATCCCAGGCATTTTCTTATGACGAGGGTGAGTAGTTTGTGCCTGTTGAAGTTAAGAGGAATAGAGAACATCTTATTGAATATATAAGGTTCCTCACAGACTTGACAGGGTAGATCTGGCCAAGTTGCTTCCCTTGGAGGAATTTCAGTTAGGAATGTTCATTTAAGACAAAAGACAATTTTATTTTCTCTCAAAAGGGCAGTCAAGCTGTGGAATTCTGAGATAGACAGATTTTCAAATCAGTAAGGGAATCAAGCCTTCTGAGGATGAGGCAAAGTGGAGTTGAGCATTACCAGATCAGCCATGATCTTATTGAGTGGCAGAACAAACTTGATAGGCCAAATGGTCTCTGCTGTTATGGAATAGAAACATAATCAAATGCAATAAAACTGTGTTTTGCATTCAATAAGGGACGTTGCTGCATATATTTTCTCCTAATTAGAAGGACTGTCTAAAATCCGATCTTAACTCCACTTTAACATTAAAGGTCAACATGCGTTTACAATGTTGAATAAAACAGATGAAATAATTATAATCAGTGCAGCCTACTAAAATAAAACAAACATCACAAGATAGAATTGTGCAGTTGTTACACCAGGTCAAAGCCACCAATTATGTCTCAACCAACACTTGAAAATAAATGATCTGGTCATGTTTGCGAGATCTGCTGGCCTGTTTTCTACATTAGTGACCCCACTTTAAACAAAACTCAACAGCTATAAAGGCACTCATTAAAAGTTTGAGGTAAGTGTTGTTAAATTACAAGCACCTGTTTTTGTTTCCTGAACAGCAAAATCAGAGGTCAAAAGCGCAATTGGTCTGGATGAGACGTGAAACTAAATTCTACAAAATCATGTGGCTGGCAACAGAAAAAAAAATTAACTTTAACAGATTGCATTGCCACTGAAGAAAGTGGTAACTGAGGCCTTTGTGTCTGCATTTAGAGATTTGGGTACCTCATGAGGAAATGATTTGCTCCGCATAGAGATAGGTGCAGCTACGAGAATGCCAGCTGGTGAAAGTGAATTGAGACAACCAACCCTGCTAACGTCATGGGGGTTTTCTCTCTACTGTGTTTGTATGTAAGAATCAATTAATGTTCTTGCAAACCCTTATTCATTCTATGTCATTCAAATAAGTCTATTGATCACATGATGGTAAGCAGCAATGGGTTTCCAAAGTTGAGGCACACACAGCGAAGTGTGCAATATTATCATTCAAAGGACCATGTACACGGTATACACAAGAAATACATCTTTGCTAATAAGAAGTGCTGTTGTAAATGAAATTCCAGAAGTAATAAGACAAAGAACAGTACAGCACAGAAACAGGCGCTTCGGCCTACGATGTCTGTAACAAATATGATGCTATTCTAAACTAAATGCTATATGTCTGCACACAGTCCTTATCCCTCTATTTCCTGCTTGCTAAGTGTCTGCCTAAATGCCTTTTAAACTTTGCTTTTGCATCTACTTCTACCACCTCTGCTGGCAGCATGTTCCAGGTGCCTACTACCCTCTGTGGGGGAAAACATCTTTCCTTGCACATTTCCTTTAAACATCCGCCCCCTCACCTTAAACCTACATCCTCGAATATTTGGCATTTGCACCCCGGGAAAGAGACCTCAATTATCCATCCTATACATGCTTCTCAATTTTATACACTTGTAACAGGTCGCCCCGTCAGCCTCCGATGCTGCAGTGAAAACAATCCAAGTTTGTCTAACCTCTCATTTGAATGAATGTGGGCAACTTAATTAGATTTCTCAGTTCTTAAAAGGCACTTTGGGGTAAGCTAGCCAAATACATGAGGCAAAACAAATAGAAGGTTTAAGCTGATACTCATGGGAAAGAAGAATGGCAATTGGGCTGAATAGTTGGGAAAATTCTATACTGTTCAATTTATTTTGTGAGCTTAGCCCTTCAATGCAGCAACTGGCACTCAATTCACAATCTAAGTGGCTAAAGTTACACTGATAAAAGCAGGTGGTCAGAATTAGTTCCATTGTTGGCACTGAGTACAGCAAGCTGAACAAGGATTGAGCATTGCACGTTCCACTCGTACAGAGGAAATAATTTTACCGAAACCACGTGGCAGGGCTCTCTGATGGGTTGAGATGGAATCTGATGCTTATTTTTCCGATGAACAGGAAAATCAAGCTGAACGTAAAGTAGGTAGTGGACCCAACTGATCAGATTCCTGCACTGCGGATAAGGCAGGAATGAGCCTGCAAATGTGTATTTTCTGTCGCCCACGTGCTACCTTGGCCAGCACAATAGTAATATTAAATTGTACAAAAAAAAAGGTGTCTCAAATCAGAAAAGATAAAACAGCAAATGTAATTTTAAGAAGGACGTAATCAAAAAGATTGATGAGGGCACAACAGTAAACACTGTCTACATGGACTTTAGTGAAGCTTTTGACAAGGTTCCGCATGGTAGACTATTTAGTGTAATTTGATTAAAAGGGATTCAGGGAGAGCTTGCCAAGTGGATACAAAACTGGCTTGACGGTAGGAGTCAGAGTGATGGTGGAATGTCGTTTTTCAGACTGGAGGCCTGTGACTAGCAATGTTCCACAGGGACTGGTACTGGGTCCACTTTTGTTTGTCATTTATATAAACGATTGAATGAGAAGTTAGGAGACGTGGTAATAGATAACACAATGTGGAGCTGGAGGAACACAGCAGGCCAGGCAGCATCAGAGGAGCAGGAAAGTTGATGTTTTGGGTCGGGATGTGGTTAGTCAGTTTGTGATGACACCAAAATTGGTGGTATTGTGGACAGTAAAGAAAGTTATCTAACAAAGAGACCTTGGTCAATTGGGTAAATGGGCTGAGGAGTGGCAGATGATAATTAATTTGGATAAATGTGAGGCACTGCATTTTCATAAAACCAACAAGGGCAGGACTTATAGAAATCATGGTAAGGCCTTGGGTGGTGTTGTAGATCAGAGACACCTAGGGGTCCAGGTACATAATTTTTGAAATTCACATCACAGGTAGACAGGGTGGTTTAAGGAGGTGTTTAGCACACTTGCCTTCATTTGAACATAGGAGTTGGGATGTCAAGTTGAGATTGTGCAGGATGCTGGTGAGGCTTTTTCTGTACATACGTGTGCAGTTCTGTTCGCCCTGCTATAGGAAGGATATTATTAAACTGGACAGGGTTCAGAAAAGATTTACCAGGACGTTGCCAAGAACTGAAAGCTTGAGTTGTAAACATAGGTTGGGACTTTTTTCACTGGAGCATAGGAGGTTGAGGGATGACTGTATAGAGATTTATAAAATCATGAGGGGCATAGATAAGGTGAATAGCAAAAGTCTTTTCCCTAAAGGTGGTGATGTTCAAAACTACGGGGCATATTTTTAGGATGGGGGGGGGGGGCCAACTGTTTTACACAGAGTGGCTCTAATGTGGAATGTACTGCTAGAGGAAGGGGAGAATGTGGGTACAGTTCCAACATTTAAAAGATATTCGAATAAGTACATGAATAGGAGGGGTTTGGAGGGATATGGGCCAAATGCAGGCAAGTGGGACTTGTTCGATTCAGGGACATGGTTGATGTGGTCGAGTTGGACCGAGCGGTCTGTTTCAATGTTGTATAACTCTAAAAGTAGAAATCCCTTCTTTTGAAGCAAATAACCTGGAATCGAAGTGTCATTACTAATAGCAAAACTTGCAACTAAAAGTGAAGAGTTCACTTACATTTTTCAGTTCAAGTCCAGAATCTATTACATAAGTGACATCAATAATAAATGATGAATCTGCTAATGAGTTTGCAATGATAACCTTCCTCCGGTAATTCTTGTAAGCCTGATTGCAATTTTCATAAATTCTTTGGAAATTGCTTCCGACGCCTGAATGCAAAGGAATGGGGATGAGCTCACCCAACTGAGACCCAATAGCACCCCCTTCTGTCCGTATCATTTGACAGCAGTCTGTTATTTCCTGCAAAACAAAAGATGTCAGCGTACAGAAATCATGCCATTTGCTTGTTTATCATCAGGAAAAAAATTTAAGCAAGAAACATTCACTCAGTTTCAGCAACCTGTTGGTGACAAACACCATTCCTTAGCATGATTCAACCAAGTAATACATTTAGAAAGAAGAATTAGGAATGGAAATGTTAGTTATGTGGCACGTTGTTAAAGCAGATGCAGGAGAGGGGACCTGGATTTCACATACACAGAGACACGACAGTATGGAGTTGGAGGAACACAACAGGCCAGGCAACATCAGAGGAGCAGGAACGTTGACGTTTCAAGTCGGGCTCCTTCAGATATTTCACATATCCAAATCTTTTAAGTTGAGACAGCCTCCTTAGATAGCTGGTGAAAACATGCACAGGATCATTGGCTTTATGAATAAATGCCTCAAGAATGTAAGGAGAGTGTGTGGCACATAATGGTCAGTTGGTGTGTCACCTCTTACTTCCAGGCCTCACCACTACCAAAGGAATATAACTTCAGAAGAAAGCCAAGTGCATAAGCTTCTCCCACAAGTACATAGCCTTTTCATCAGCAAGCCCCATGCTTAACTATAGAGAACCTGGAAGAGGCAGATTCCCCAGATGTGGCACATATAGGCTCATCTAATATCATAGAAGAGGAGGTGGTTGAAGGAGCAAGATCTTTGAGAAAATCTGGAATAGATCCCTATACGTGATTGTCAACCCTCTTGCAGGGAACTTTATGGGAACTCCTGCACAGCTGGTTTCTAAAAAGGGCTGGTTTCATCCTGCTCTTTAGACAGTACTAGCAATACCACAAAGGAGACCCTAATACCTGGACCAAAAAAGGGCCTCCAGCTCAGCTCAGGTCAGTTCTGCTGAATATGCAAGGAGTTTGAACTGACAATAAACCTCACAAAGACCAGGATGTAGAAACTATACCTTCCATGCACACCAATAACCTCAGTGGGGGTTGGTGACATCTTCACTTACTTGGATCAACAATTCCCAGCTATCTGTTCCTTGATGTCAAAAATGGGCACCAGGATGGCCAAAGCTGCACGTCATGTTAAAATTGAGAAGAGATATCAACCAGCAGTAAACTAAGTAAAAGCTCATGTGCACCAGGTTTATATTCTCAGCACCTTCCTCTACAGCAACAAGGCATGTTAGGCAAGTCAAGAAAACCAGCTGAACAGCTTCCACTTCTGTTGCATCAGACAAATTCTTGGCACCTCCTGGCAAGACCGCAAACTAAATACGGATGCACACAAAATTGCAGAGATCCCCACATGAGTTCTTTTGAGTCAGCAATTATTTTATTTGTTGGGGTTATGTGAATCAAATAGATGTTAGGCACATCCCCAAATACATGCTCTACGGTGTACTGACTCATCAGCAAGAGATAAGCAGATTGTCCATGACTGCAATACAGGGATATCACAGAATTATTACTGGCCAAGAGATGGCTCTCCAGTCCATTCAATCTGCACTGGCTCTTAGAGCATGATTTGATACCAATTTCCTGACTATTCCCTGTAACCCTGTATGTAGCTACTAAAATGAATGTCTGAAATGAACCTGACCCTTGCACACTTGTAGGAAATGCATTCCAGACCCTAAACAATTGTGGCATGAAAATAAACTTCTCAACTGGCATTTGCAAAAAATTTCTTACGAGCAAGGACAATTCTGCTCTATTCCAAGTATTCAGGACTTTGAAAAGTTCTATCAAATCACCTCTTAATCTGAAATTCTCCAATCTATCCACATAATTGAAGTCTCTCATCTCTAGAATCATTTTCAGAAGTCTCTTCTGCACTCTCTTCAGTGTATTCACATCCTTCTTGAAGTGTGGCATGTAGAATTGTACAAGGTATTCCAAATGATTCAACTAATGTTCTTTACAAGTTCACCATTACCTCCCTGCTCTTGTACTCTGTGCCCCTGTTAATGAAACCTAGAATAGTATATGCTTTATTAACAGCCCCAACTCTTCTGCCAACTCAAGATTTCTGCACACACACTGGCCTTTTTGCTGCTGCACACCCCTTAGAATATTACCCATGAATCTGCGAGCAAGGCCTAAAGTTGGCAGTGGTTGGAGCTGATGTATGGGAAGCCCTAACTGCTGACTGACAATAGATCGGAGTGTCTGGAGACCAGAAGTCAGCAAAGGGATGGTGAAAGTACAAATGAAGTAATTGGACTGGTGAAACCAAAGCCTGCCAGAGTGTAACACCATCAGTTAACTTCAGGCCAACACCAGTCATCTATGCCAGCTGAAGAAAAGACAGCCACTCATGAATTGACCCTCATTCTACACAGAGAACGTATGGTGGGAATTTATAGAGGCATATAGAGTTGAGGGTCAATACAGCAGGTATTCGACAGTATGACTATGTCCCAGACACCACTATCAACAACCCAGGATATGCCCTGTTGAACCAGCAGGACTCGCCCAGCAGAAGCAACGACACGTTGGTATTTGGTTGAAACAGTCCTGGGATCTTTTTACACTAAACCCAACGAAGTCTCATGGCATCAGGTCAAACAAGGGCAAAGAAGAACAGAGCAACGAACAGTACTGCACAGTACAGGTCCTTCGGCCCACGATGTTGTGCCGACTTATTATCATACTAAGATCAATCTACCTGCATACCCTACATTTTACTATCCTCCATGTGCCTATCCAAGAGTCGCTTAAAAGTCTGCCAATTACTGTGTACTTCCCCCATTCCGCATTAGTTGATCATCAGTGCTCTTCCATGTTGAAAACTGCTGAGGCTGACAATGACAGAACATTTCTCCTGCTGACCACAGAATTCAGGGTGGGGCACTTCAATGTCCACTGCCAATAGTGCTTTGGTATGCACCAGTACGAAAGGGTGGCCAAAGCCTAAAGGACACAGTTACCAGACCGGTACTGTGGCAGGTGGTGAGGGAACCAACAACAGGGAAAAAAAAACATACCTCGAACTCATGCTCACCCATCTGGCTGCCAGTGACGTATCTACCCATGGAAGCACTGGTTAAAGTGGCCACAGCACAGTCTTTGCTGAGATAATGTCCATCTTCACATCGAGGATATCCTCCACTGTGTCACCATCACCATGCTAAATGGGACAGGCATTGCTCTAGCAACTTGAGGCTGGCCCTGGTGCCTCATTGATGCCCATCGCACCACGAGACTGCAACTCCAACACAATCTGCAACTCTAGCCACCTGTACCATTACCATCAAACCAGGGGAATCAACCTAGTGGAATGAAGAATGCAGGTGATGATGCCAGGAGTAGCATCAGACATATAGTATCTAAATGAGGTGTCAACCACATGGAACAACAAAATGAGCTACCTGCGTGCTAAACAGCAAAAGCAGCAAGTGACAGACAGGGCTAAGTAATTCTACAATCAGCAGATCCATTCCAAGCTTTGCAGTCCTGCCATATCCAGTTGTGAATGGTGGTGGATAATTAAACAACTCACTGAAGGAGGAGGCGGCTCCACAACTACCTCCATTCTTACCCAACAGGGGAGCCAAACAACAGTGCAAATATTCAGCCAGGAGTGCCGAGTGGAAAACCTATTTTGGCCTTCTCCTGAGGTCCCAGGCATCATGGATGCCAGTCAATTTGATTCACTTTACGTTACATCAAGAAGCAGCTGAAGGCACTGGATACTGCAAAGTACAAGGGTCCTGACAATGTTACTGAAGAGTTGTGCTCCAGAACTTGTCACCTCCTAGCCCGATGATCCAGCCTTGGTTTAAACATGGGCAAAAGAACAGAATTCCATAGGCAAGGTGAGATGGACTGCACTTGACAGTGCAATATCAAGGGGCCCTAGCAAAACTGGAGTAAATGGGAACCAGATGTAAAACTCCACAGGGATTGTACAATGGTTACTCCTACTGATGCTGTAATGGACAGATGCAACTCCCATAACCCTGCACATCATTTCTATTTAATTTCCTCCTGATTGCCGCAATTGCACTTGCTTCCACCACACTTCCAGGCAGTGCATTACAGACACAGAGTACTTACTGCAGGAAACATTTTATTTATTTTTCACCTGGAATTTGCTTCCTTTGCAAAACACTTTAAAACTTGTACACTCTGGTTCTAGATCCTTTTATAAACAAGGGCACTGAAAGTGGCAACACAGGCAGCGAGGGTGATTAAGAAGGCATGTGGCATGCTTACCCTCATTGCCCGGAGCATGGAGTACAAGAGTTGGCAAACCATATTGCACCTATATAAAACCCTTCTTAGGCTGCATTTGGAGTACTGTGTGCAATTTTGGTCACCACACTACCAGAAGGAAGTGGGAAGCTTTGGAGAGAGTACAGAGAAGGTTCATCAGGATGTTGCCTTGTCTCCAGGGCAATCACTATGAGAAAAGGTTTAAAAAAGACTAGGATTGTTTTCACTGGAAAGATGGCAGCTGAGAGGAGACCTGGGAGAGGTCTACAAAATTATGAGAGGCATAGATAGGGTGGATAGTCAGAGGCTTTTTCCCAGGGTTGAAGTTTCAATTACAAGGGGGCGCAGGTACAAGGTCAGAGGGGGAAGTTTAAGGGAGATGTGTGAGGGAAGTTTTTCACGCAGAGTATGGTAGCAGCCTGGGTTGCACTACGAGAGATGCTGGAAGCAGGCACATTGAAGATATTTAAGAGGAACCTAGATGGGTCCATGAATAGGGAGGGAATAGAGGGATATGGATTGAAAAATGGCAGATTTGTTTTTGGATTAATTAGGGCATGATGATCGGCACAGGCTTGGAGGGCCTGTTCCTGTTCTGTGCTTTTTATTTATTCATTTATTTCGTAAATTTGAAAACGCCTATCAAAAATGTCCTCTTAGTCGTCTACTCTCCTAAGTCAGTCAATGGACCTAAGTTCTCCAATATATCTTGATTATTCAACTCTCTCATCCCTGGAATGATTTCCAAACCTCTTCTGCATGCTCTACAATGTCCCAGACACCACCATTCCTGGTCATTTACTGTCCCACTGGCAGGGCATGCCCAAAGGAGTTGGCACAGGGGCATACAGTCAGGAGAGGTGCCCTGGTATTTATAAACATTGCCTCTAGACCCCATGAAGGTGCACAGCATCAGGTGAAACACGGGCAAGGAAGCCTCCTGCTAATTTAAATGTGCCATCCTCATTCTGCATTCCTGCATGTTGAAATACACTTGGAGAAAGCACTATGTGTGGCAAGGGCACAGAAGGTACTCTGATTGGGAACTTCAATGTCCACTATCAAAAGTAGCTTGGCAGCAACACTACCGATTGAGCTGGTCAGGTCCTACAGGCCATAGATGCTATATTGGGTCTGCAGCAGCTAGTGAAGGAACTGACAAGAGGGATACATATGCTTGGAACTCATCTTCACCAAATTGCCTGCTGCAGCTGCATCTGTCCCTGAGTAATAAGATCCAAAGTGAGGATATTCGCACCAGTAAGAGTGACCACCGCACAGTCTTTGTGGAAACAAAGTCCCGCCTTCACATTGAGAATAATCTTCATCATGTTGTGTGACACGATCACTGTGCTAAATGGGACAGACTTCGAACAGATCTAGCAACTCACAACCGGGCATCTATGAAGTGCTGTGGGCCATCAGCAGCAGAATAGTACTCCAGCTCAGTCTGCAACTTCATAGCCCAGCACATCCCCGACTCAAACATAACTATCAAGCCAAAGAATCAACTCTGGTTTAATGGAAAAGTGTAGGATGGCACATGAGGAGCAGCAGCAGGCATGCCAAGAAATGAGGTGTCAACCAGGTGAAGGCACAAAACAGAACGACTCATATGCCAAACATAAGCAGCAACTAAGAGCTAAGCAATCTCACAACCAACTGATCCGATCGAAGCGCTTTAGTCCTGCCACAAACAGTCCTGAGTATGGAAGACAATGAAACAACTCACTGGAGGAGGTTGCGCTCCACAAATGTCCCCATCCTCAATGATGAAACAGCCCAACAAAGTGTGAAAGAAATATCTGGAATTAAGATCTAATGCTGACCATGAATCCATTGTCAGGAAAAACCCCTCTGGTTGACTCATGTTCTTAGGGAGGGAAATTGCCATCTTTACCTGATTTTTAAAAAATCCCAAAAGAACCGTAGATGCTGTAAATCAGGAACAAAAAACAGAAGAAGTTGCTGGAAAAGCTCAGCAGATCTGGCAGCATCTGGGAAGGACAAAAAAAAAAATCAGTTAACTTTTCGGGGCCGGTGACCCTTCTTCACACCTGCTGAGCTTTTCCAGCAACTTCTGTTTTTAATGCCATCTTTACCTGGTCTGGCCCACGTCAGATGTTTCAGCACTCTACACCAGCATCCCTCACGATGACAGCATCGCTGCAACAGCCTCAGTACTCAACATCAACAACCGCCAATTTCTAGACACCGTTCCTAAAACTCATCTGCTTCATCCTCGGACACAATGTCTTCACCTTTGACAACCAGTTCTTCATCCAGAAGCAAGGAACAGCATGGGGACCAAATCTGCACCCCAACATGCCAACATTTTCATGCACAAGTTCAAGCAAGACTTCTTGGCTGCATAGGACCTCCGACTAACACTATACACCAGATACATTGACATTTTCTTCCTTTGGACTTATGGCAAGGAATGAATGAAACAACTGCATATCAACAAGTTTCAACCCACCAGACTTACCATTGATTACTCTTTAGAATCAGTCTCATTCTTGGACACACGCATCTCCATCAAAGACAGACATCTCAGTACCTCACTCTACTGCAAGCCCACAGATAACCTCAAAATGCTGCACTTCTCTAGCTTACACTTTCAACATATTACAGAGGACATCTACGGACAAGCCTTGTGTACATACAGGATCTGCTCAGATGAGGAAGAACCCAACTAACTCCTGAAGGTTTCAGATGTCCTCAGAAGAATAGGATACAATACTCAACTTATTCATTGCAAATTCTGACATGACACAGTGAAAAACTGCAGTGACCTCAGAAGACAGACACAGGATACAACCAATACAGTAGCCTTCGTCATCTAGTACACCCCCAGAGCAGAGAAACTACGCCATGTTCTTCGCGGCCTTCAACTTATCATCAATGACGATGAGGCACTCGCCAAGGTCTTCCCAACACCTCCACTTCTCACCTTCAAATAACTGTCAAACCTTAAACAGACCATTGTTCGCAGCAAACGACCCAGCCTTCAGGACAACATCAACCACAACACTATACAACCCTGCCATGGCAACCTCTGCAAGACATATCAGATCATAGACATGGATACTACCATCACATGTGGGGACCATTAGTTTGATAAGTTGCTATGATCTCTCTACCTTAACTAGTATGTACAGTTTTAAACTGAGCATGCGATTTTAGTCATTTAGTTTGACTCCAGCACTACCCTATTTTTAAACTTATTGTATTTATCTCACTGCTTCACTTAATTGGATTATAGGTCATTCCCTCGCTGGTTATTCAGCTGTTGACACTTTACTCACCGTCAAACAATCCTGGTCATCTGCAGAGACTTATTATCTGACGCTCCACTCATATCAGTTGTCTGATCTTTTGATCTCTCTGCCTATAAACTCTGTCTGAAAGCTGTGCTCTCTCTCTGCACCTGACAAAGGGGCTGCACTCCGAAAGCTTGTATGATTTCAAATAAACCTGTTGGACTATAACTGGGTGTGTGCGACTTCTGACTGTCCACCCCAGTTCAACACCGGCACCTCCACATGGTCTGGCCTACATGTGACTCCAGACCTATAGTAGTGGGGTTGACTCTTAACTGCCTCTGGGCAATTAAGGATGGGCAATAAGTGCTGGCCTAGCCAATAATGCCCATATCCCATGAAATGAATAAAAAAAAAAGGAAGCACATGCAACAGCTGGAAGAAACGAGTGGATAGCCCATCTCAGCACCCTTCCGAGATCCCCAGCATCACAGATGGCAGTCTTCAGTCGATTTAATTCATTTCACATGACATCAAGAAACAGTTGGAGGCACTAAATACTGCAAAGGCTATAGGCCCGGACAACATTCTGGCAGTAATCCTAAAGACGTTCTCCACAAAGGGCTGCACCCTTAAGCAATCCGTTCTCGTATATCTACAACAACGACATCGATTTGACAATGTGAAAAATTGCCCAGTTATGTCCTGTACACAAAAAGCAGGACAAATCCAACCTGGCCAATTACCTCCCCAAAGCCTATCCACCATGTGCAATGCACAAGTCAGGAATGTGATGCACTGACCTGCCTGCCTGGAGTGCATCTCCTTCAACACTCAATAAACTGGAGTTACAGGCACAGAATCTTTAAAATGCCATAAACTGGTGCAGAAAATGATCAAGAAATCTAATGGAATGTTGGTCTTTATATCTAAAGGATTGGAGTACAAGGATGAAACAGTTATGCTACGGTTATTCAAAAACTTGGTTAGACTCCACTTGTATCGAGAGCAGATCTGAGCAATACATGACCTTGGAGGGAGTACAACATAGATTTGCAAAAAATGATACCTGGACTTCAGAGGTTAAGTTACAAGGCACGGTTACATAAACCAGGCCTGTTTTCTCTAGAATTTACAATGTTCAGGGATGTTCTGATTGAAGCCTTCAAGATATTAACAGGAAAAGACAGGGTAGTAAAGATAAACTATTTCCATGGTTGGGGGATTCTAGAATTGGGAAGCATAAATCGAGGTAGTAGGGTCAGGAAACATCCACACAGAAATAGTGGTTGATGTTTGGAATTCTCTTCCAGGAATGACAGTGGATGCTAGATCAGTTGTTAATTTGAAATCTAAGATAGAAAGCCTTTGGTTAAGCAAAAATATTAAAGAATATGGGCCAAAGGCAGGTATATTGAGTTTGTCCACAGATCAGGCACGATCTCACTGAATGGTAGAACAGACTCAAAGGGTGGAATGGCCTACTCCTGTTTCCAAGGGAACATCACTATCTGCAAGTTCTCCTCCAATCCACTCACCATCCTGGCTTGGAAATATATCAATGTTCCTTCACTGTTGCTAGCTCAAAATCCTCAAATTGTCTCCCCAACAGCATTCTGGGTGTACCTATGGCACATGGACTGCAACGATTCAAGGCATCAGCTCATCACCACCTTCTCAAGGGCAACTAGGGATGAATAAAAAAAGTGTTGGCCCAGTCAGCAATGCCCATACCACACAAGTGAATTTTTTAAACAAATGTGAAAACTTGCATTGCAAGATCAACAGAACATAGATAAGTATTGTGGCTGCAACAGAAGTCACCACATGAAAATTAAGGATCAGCAAAGACCAATGGGTCCATAAAGCCTGCTCCAAATTCCTGACATCTGGAGTATCATGACTAATTTGTATGATAATGATAAAGATAAAGATAAATTGAAATGTGACACTGAATTGAACAGATTTTCCAAGCTGCTGCACCAGGATGATGGGCTAAATGGCCTCCTTCAGTGCTCTAAAAAATCCCTTATCCCACATACCAAACTACTGCCAAAAATCCCATGTTTCTCTTGAAGTTTGTTCAATTTCTATGTGTATTCTTCAAAACTGCATCCACAGTCTAAAGCAGCTAACAGGCCGGTGACTACATAGTTTTTACACTGCAATTAAATTAATTAAAAACTAATTCTCATTAATAATAAAAAGAATAATAATTTAACCCACTTTAGAAAAGACCTCTCTCATCAATTCAAACACGAGAATTCTGTTGAATAATTTGCTTAATAAGAATTAATCCAAACTGATGACCCAAATGTTAGGGTTCCCAACTCTCTAAAAACTGAATATTCATCTTTCAACATTGTTTCAAGCCACGCAGCACAGGGGAAAAATATCGAAAACTACAATAACATTGTTGTTTCTCAACTTTTCTTTCAATATCTTTACTATTAAGTCTAAAAATGTTGAAGGACGCAACTGTTTACTTGGGTGAGGGTCTTCAAAAGAGAGAAGTCACATAATGGACTGAATCCCACTGGAATTGGAAACAATAATAAATATAATCCTGAAAGAGAGAGTCATTAGAGACAGATAGCAGGAACTGCAGATGCTAGAGAATCTGAGATAACAAGGTGTGGAGCTGGATGAACACAGCAGGCCAAGCAGCATCAGAGGAGCAGGAAAGCTGACATTTCAGGCCTAGACCCTTCTTCAGAAACGGGGGAGGGGAAGGGGGTTCTGACATAAATAGGGAGAGAGGGGGAGGTGGATAGAAGATGGTTAGAGGAGCAGATAGGTGGAGAAACAACTCAACAACTTCTCTTTCAATTCCTCCCACTTCCTACAGACAAAGGGGGTGGCCATGGGTACCCGCATGGGCCCAAACTATGCCTGCCCCTTTGTAGGTTACGTGGAACAATCCCTCTTCCGTAGCTACACTAGCCCTAAACCCCACCTCATCCTCCGTTATATTGATGACTGTATCGGCGCCGCCTCGTGCTCCCACAAGGAGCTCAAACAGTTCATCCACTTCACCAACACCTTCCACCCCAACCTTAAGTTCACCTGGACCATCTCTGATACTTCTCTCTCCTTCCTGGACCTCTGTTTCCATCTCTGGCAACCACCTAGAAACCAATATCCATTGCAAGTCCACCGACTCCCACAGATACCTAGAATACACCACCTCCCACCCACCTTCCTGCAAAAATGCCATCCCCTATTCCCAATTCCTTCGCCTCCGCCGCATCTGCTCCCAGGATGAGGCATTCCACTCCCGAACATCTCCTGAACACCTCGTTTTTCAAGGACCGCAACATCACCCCCCTCAGTGGTCGAGAACGCCCTCAACCGTGTCTCCCGCATTTCCCACAACTCATCCCTCACACCCCCTCCCCGCAATAACAACCAAAACAGAATCCCCCTCGTCCTCACGTACCACCCCACCAACCTCCGGATCCAATGCATCATCCTCCGACATTTCCGCCATCTGCAATCCGACCCCACCACCAAAGACATTTTTCCCTCTCCACCTTCATCTGCTTTCCGGAGGGACCACTCTCTCCGGGACTCCCTTGTCCGCTCCACACTCCCCTCCAGCCCCACCTCACCCAGCACTTTTCCCTGCAACCGCAGGAAATGCTACACCTCCCCCCTCACCTCCATCCCAGGCCCCAAGAAGACTTTCTACATCAAGCAGATGTTCACCTGCACATCTGCTAATGTGGTATACTGTATCCACTGTTCCCATTGTGGCCTCCTCTACATTGGGGAAACCAAGCGGAGGCTTGGGGATCGCTTTGCAGAACACCTACGCTCGGTTCGCACTAAACAACTGCACCTCCCAGTCGCAAACCATTTCAACTCCCCCTCCCATTCGTTAGACGACATGTCCATCCTGGGCCTCCTGCAGTGCCACAATGATGCCACCCGAAGGTTGCAGGAACAGCAACTCATTCTGCTTGGGAACCCTGCAGCCCAATGGTATCAATGTGGACTTCACAAGCTTCAAAATCTCCCCTCCCCCTACTGCATCCCAAAACCAGCCCAGTTTGTCCCCGCCTTCCTAACCTGTCCTTCCTCCCACCTACTAACCTCAGCCCGCCCCCTTGACCTGTCCGTCCTTCCTGGACTGACCTATCTCCTCCCTACCTCCCCTTTACTGGCTCCATCCCCGCCTCTTTGACCTGTCTGTCTCCTCTCCACCTATCCTCTCCTCTATCCATCTTCTATCCTCCACCACCACCCCCCTCCCTATTTATTTCAGAATCCCCTTCCCCTCCCCCATTTCTGAAGGAAGGTCTAGGCCTGAAACATCAGCCTTCCTGCTCCGATGATGCTGCATGGCCTGCTGTGTTCATCCAGCTCTACACCTTGTTATCTCTAGTCATTAAAGACAAATCAATCAATCAGTTAATTCTGGCAACTCTCAATAAACTGCAAGCAGACGATTGTGATTTTCTGTTCATGTTATGAATGGATCAGGAGTCAGTGGGTGATTCAGGAAACACCTCAGATGTACCATATAAGCCACTAAAATATTTTTAAACATACTACATCTGGATTATGAAGGTAACTGACAATAGGTGTTTCTTGTGAAAAAAGATTTTTCAAAATGTAAACAACTTACACATTGAGAAATAGAACACAAGAGTTGGGAGTAGACATATCAGTCCCTTGAACCCACTCTGTCTTTTAATATCATAGGTGATCTCATTTCAGCCTCAACTCCACTCCCCTGCCTACTCCCTTTAACCCTTTACTAATTAAGAAACTGCATTTCCCTCCTTGGATTTCCTCAATTTCCCAACATCCATTGGAAGAAGGGAAGTCAGTGGAACTTTCTCCGGAATGGAAATTACAGGATTTGTGGAACAAATTGACAGGAAAGGCCATTAGACTTGCTTCTGAAGTGCAATTGGAAGAGTTTCTGAAATACTGACATGGGGATATGGTGGGGAGTTAGGTTAGTGTTTTCTTGTTGGATGCAGAAATCTATCCTTGTTGCTCTTCTTCTCAGCTATCAAGGTGCTGCAGTAATGACGGATTTGGTGAAAGACAGGTCACTCCACTAGTTCAACACAGCAATTTATGGTGTGCAAATATTGGCACTCCTTGTTCAAATAAAAGCCTTATCAGTACAGCCTATTTCCTCAAAGTACATAAAGATCTAAGACAACAAGGTGCAGGGCTGGATGAACACAGCAGCCAAGCAGCATCACAGGAGCAGAGAGGCTGACGTTTCGGGCCTAGACCCTTCATCAGAACCCGAAACGTCAGCCTCTCTACTCCTATGATGCTGCTTGGCCTGCTGTGTTCATCCAGCCCTGCACCTTGTTGTCTCGGATTCTCCAGCATCTGCAGTTCCTACTATCTCTGACATAAAGATCTATGAAAGGTTTGTATTGCAAGTTTTTTAGCTATTAAAATATTTTCCATTTTTATAAAAGCTATGCCCTCCTCTAAACAAACTACACTCAGTCCTCGTTATCCGATTTGCTATTCATGTATGCACATTCTTATAAAGGTCAGTCCTAGGCCTCATCTCAAATCACAGAATTCCTACAGTGTAGAAGCAGGCCACTCGGCCCAACAAGTCGACACTAACCCTTCGAAGAGCATCCTATCCAGACCCACTCACTCCCCACCCTATCTCTGTAACCCAGCATTTCCAATGGCTAATCCACCTAGCCTGTACCTCCCTGGACACTTGGGCAATTTAGCATGGCCTGCACATCTTTGGACTGTGAAAGGAAACCAGAGCATCCAGAAGAAACCCATGCAAATATGGGGACAATGTGCAAACTCCACACAGTCGCTAGAGGTTGGAACTGAACCTGGGTCCCTGCTGTTGTGAGCCACTGTGCCGCCCCAGTTTCTCCATTAACTGTTCAAAATACTGCACACATTTGAAATAAAAAAATCACAAAATCCTCAAATTTAAAAAGGTCTCAAATTTTGTGCACCTGAAGTTATGGCTAGTTATTACTAATTTAAATTGAAAATTGCAAAACAATTGGATATATTGCACTTGGAGAATGGATGTGACCTGTAGATTATAAATAAAAAGTCAGATGGCCATTGTCACTATGGCTTCTTTGAATCAAATGTTAGAAATAACATGGCAAAATCTGTATTATTGTGGGAGCCAGGGGCATAGCAGTAATGTCACTGGACTAGCAATCCAGATCCCCACGCTATGTTCTCAGGATATCGGTTCAAACCACACTATGGAAATGGTGATGTTTAAATTGAATAACAATCTGGAATTAAAATCTAGTTTAAATGACAACTATGTCATTGTTGCTGATCGTCATAAAAGCCCATCTATTCACTGTCCTTTAGGGAAGAAATGTGCCATCCTTACGTGTTCTGGCTTACATGTGACTGCATATCCACAGCAATATGGTTGATCCATCTCACCCACTTCCTGACATCCTCAGCATCACAGATGCCAATCTTCAACTAACACATTTTGCTCCATCTTTTCAGAAAGCTTTGAGCCGTATCAAAAAGATTTGAAGCACCTAAAATGTTGCCATTTAAAAAAAAAGTGTCAAAATCTAGTAAT